TCATAAATTATCTCCAGAACATTTACAATCGTCATTTCATTTCGAATTCATTTCAAAAAAAAAAAAAATAGTGGCCTAATTTACACAAAAATTGAAAAAGTGCTCCAACATAGTCACAGTCTTATACGCATTTGCAAATAATTCTGTGCGACATTTTCACTCATACTGTGCTTAGCTTGGCGGCATTTTCACATTTTTCAATAGTTTTCACAAAATTGGAAAAGTGTTCCAGTACAAAACAGTCTAAACGCACTCGGGTAAACATTTGTACCAGAGTGGCGCTTAGACTGTGCTTAGCCTGGGTGATTTTTTGAATTTTAAATCCAATTACAAAATATTTTATGGAAAATAAGAAAATGTAATATTTATATTTATCCTCAAAAGCGATTGTTTTGAATAAATTTTTGTTAGAAAGCAGAAAGTTTTTTAGAATCATTCAAATCGGACGCTTAGTTCACTCAAAAACTGCCATTTCTTGCATATTTAGCTCTGTATCTCCGAAACCGCTGGACCTGCCTTTTGCCAAAAACTAATAACCACTTTTCCCCCGTCATTACGAATGAATGTTTTTTGGACCATTCAAATCAGATGCTCCGTTCCCTCAAAAACTCGATTTCTATTTTCTGCACTATTTGCTCTTATCTCCGTAAACTGCTGGACCTGCCTTTGCCAAAAACTAATCAGCACATCTCCCTATCAATAGGGATCGAATGTTTGTTAAACCATTCAAATCGGTTAATCCGTGCGCCCGAAAACGTGGACAAAAAATTGTATCCAGACATACATACACACTCACACACACACACACATACACACACATCCATTTAGTTTCTGAGGTATGCCCCTTAAAAATGTTCAGAAACTTTCAAAACGTCGAGAAATGTACAAAAATTTTCATTTTCCATTTTCGGCCCATTACTATAACTACCCTACGGGAAGTTAATAACAAAAGCTTGGTTTAAACTATTCAATTCAAGAGTCTAATTCATCCCTACCTGTGAAACGATGCTGGATCTATTACTATGTCCCCAAATCTAAATCCATTGCAAAGGGCCCACTAAGTGACCTCTGCCCTGAAGGAGTCAAATGCTGGGTGCTGTACTCTGAAGGCGAATGGTGCTGGTGAAGTCCTGGTAAAACGACCAGAGGACGATCGTGAGACGAACTCAATTCTGGCGAGGAATCGCTAAAAACAATAATTTAATTAAGTGAAAAGATCTAGGGCAGAATTGGATTGTATTATTACCTGATTGCACCCGAGTCTAACTGGAGAAGAGGCTTCCTATCTTCTTCATCGGCAGCTGCTGATGGCGAGCGGTCTGCTGCATGTGATGGGCCCTAAAGAAAATGATACAAAATCCGGGAAAAATTCCAGACAACTTCTAACTACCAACTAAACATGGTAAAATCAACTGTCAATCAATCATCTGTCAAAGTGATGTTGTCTACTTACAGCATGCCTGGTACTATCATGGCACAACGACAATCTTCAGGATCAACATACTGCGTACCATTGAAGAAGATCCTTGAGGTGTCAACGATCCTCCTGCTCCATGACCTGCTGAACACTGATTTGTACCCGACACATTCGGAGGCGACGTTGCTGCCGATCTATGCTGAGAAGGCTACAGAAAAGTGAAAAATAAAACGAGTCCTTTACCTTATTTAACACTATTCCTACCAGGACCGGTCAACTCAAACTCAAATGACCGTTTTTGATTTTTTGATTAGTATTTTTTATATCAACCGTAATTGAATCGTCATCAAACTTCACGACTTTTCCTAATATGGGTCATTCTTTTACAAACCGTACACCATCCAGACCTTGACATTTTAGAATTGAATGAAATTTTACAGATATTATACATAAAATCATTTGACAGGTATTCAGGATTTTGCTGAAAAAATTTTTTTACGTAAATATTTACGATTGAAAAATGGATTTTTTGCTCAATTTCTATGAACATCATCTGCGGTAAATTAATTATCTCCGGATGTGCTGATCGGATCACTATTATTATTTTTTTATTAGATTCATATTGAAGTGAACTTTGTAATGAAAAAATTTTTCTTTTTGTTCAACAACAACCCTTAAATATTTACAAAGGTTTTACTCAGCCTTACCCCAACGTGAATCGATAAAAAAAACATATTTTTTCTTTTTTTCTCTGCAACAAATTCTTTTTACAATTTGTTGGAGATTTTTTTACATCGAAAGATATTAAATATTTTCAAGCGCGAGCCGCGCTTTTCACGTCGGGGCCTCAAAGACTTGTACTCATTTGTGAATTTCAAATGACAATCTTATTGTTTTCCGGTTGAAAAATATTTTATAATTTCTGGTGAAAAATGAATATATAGTCAAAAAAATAGGGGAGAGCGGAGCTTAAAAGTTCGTGGGTAAAAAGATCCACTGCCAATATCTCAAAAACAAGTAAAGTTAGAAATTTTTTTACAACAATTTTGGCTGATTTTGTTCGCCCTATCATCTTTCTGAAACATTATCTGAAATATTTTTCTTTCAGGAAATCTGTTTTGTATTCGTACTTAGTTGATTTTTTTCTGAATTCCTGTTGGAACTATACGGCAAGTTAATTGGATAGAAAGTTCCTGCCTTGTACATCGTCTTCCCGTAATTTCTTTATGTGAAAACAATGGATTTATCCTGAATAAATACAAAATAAGGAAAATCCTTGATAAATTCTCTCTAAAATTCATATTTTACCGAATGATTTCTAACTACTTTATGAATGACATCTACACCAAACACGACGCTAATACCAATTGAATTGACTCCCGTATTAGTGTAATTTTTTCAACATATGCGTATGTAAGTGAAAATTAGTATCTTCTTTCTTAGCTTCCAAAATTGTAAATATTATTTGAGTTAAGTCCTTGATTTTTAGTTCTACCAGCTACAAATAGCTGTTATATTGCTTCAATTGTACCTACCATCACAGTTTCTTTTTTTACTAAAAGTTTAGCTATAAGTTGGATGGTAAAAAACGCTTAAATTTTTTATACGGTTTCATTGGTTATAAATGTTCAAAGAAATTCTCAGTTTTCTACGTATACTGGATGGTTATCAAATATTTACACCCCATTTGTGCGATTTGCTGGGCATATTTATATATTTACATCGTGTATTGAACAGTTACTAAAATTTTATACTACGTTTTACTGAATATTATTGAACATGTGTTGAATAAATTTACACCTTACCTTTATTGAAAATATATGTTTGTCGGTAGTAATACGTGGCCTTTTACAACAATTTTGATTGCTGTCAATGTAGTTGAACCAACTTTTGGATTCAAAACAAAACCTATCACTATCACTCTAAATTCGTCTGAATTTACATTTTCTTGTAAGTCTGATACTACAAAAAATGCTGTCCGAAACATCGTCTTTCGTACTACCGGTCAAATGACCGGTCGCGGTAGGTAAAAATAAAAATTGGAAAAACAAATTTACATTGAAAAATGTATCATATTCACATATTAGGAAAAGTTATGAAGTTTGATGACGATTCAATTACGTTTAATATGAAAAAATACTAATCGAAAAATCAAATTTCACTCAATCATTTGACCGGTCCCGGTAGGAATAGTGTCAACTGACTTCTTATCACTTACAATGTTGACTGCAGTCGGTATAGTCTGTATCCTCTTCGGCGGCCTCCGCTTTTCAGGAATGTCCTCAAAATTTATCCAACTTTTGACCGGAGCAGATCTCGACATGGTTCTTTCTTCTCGTGCTGAGTTTGGAGGCGTTTTCCTTGGAGGCAAAGGCGGCGGTGGAGTTGAACAAGATTCTCTTCTAGATGTCGATGTAGAATGATGCTCTCCTGATTGGGAGGCTGTCGATCCTGTGCGTCTTCGAGCTGGAGCAATGGCTTGCTCCGCAAATTCAATCCAACTAGATGATAAAGGACATAGAAATGTTTTATGTTGGTAGCTAAAAATTATAAACAGCTTCATCTACCTTTCGGCTGCTTCAGCTACAGGTCTTCTAGGCGACCTTTGACGTCCTTCTTCTGCTTCAGATGAATGTGCTGTTGAGGGCAATTTGATTCGCAATTGTTGTTTAGCATTACTAGCTGTCAAGGAGTTTTCTTGCTGAGCTGCACTTTTCAGAAGTTGCTGGAACCTGCTGGGTTCTATCGGAGTTGTTGGGCGAGGTCTTTCCACCCTAGAAATAAAATAATGAAAACATCATATAAAATGTTAGATATAAAAATGAATCGCAAAATGTGTTGGTAAGCGCATAACTCAACAACGCCTGGACCAATTTGGCCATTTATTTTTTCAAATTTCCGTTGAAGTCCAAGGATGCTTCTTACAGCGAGAAAAATCGAATAATTGCCGGGAAAACCCTAAAAATAGCCCTTTTCTTTTTCACATTTTTTTTGCTTTAATGCTATTACAAATAAAGGTCATATTAAATTACAATCACTCACTGTATACTTCTCCTAAACGATTATTCGGATTTTGATAAATCTTTCTGAAGTTTGTTAAGAAATTTTCTAGAATGTATGTGATTATAAAATACTGGCATGTATGTGCAATACTGTAGAAATAAATGGGAAATATTGCAAAAAAACGACATGTCATTGTTTGCATTGAAAACAAATGAAAACTATCATCTCCAAAAATTTCAATTTACTTATGAACCCAGACAATGTTCGAATATGTATAATGAATTTATGATTATGAATAAGAAAAATGAAATGTCTACATTATTAATGCCGAAAAGCAGCTGAGATGTGCCAGAAATTAAAATAATATAAAATACAGTATATGTATGGAAGATTGAATGATACACATACGAACAGGATATGACAAATTATTATTATTATTTTTTATTATTAACTTTCTAAATAGAAATCAGAACGAGTTACAATTCTGTAAGCTATTGTGATGTATGTAACTCAAATACAGTATTTGAGTTCAAAACAAAAATATAAAATAATGATATGTAAAAATAAAATTGTTTAAGAAACTCCCCAGTGGGAGTTTTGTCTATGGTTCATCCCCATAGCACCATATATCGGCTTAATCACCGTTCTGTATATTAGCACCTTATTATCGAGGGACAATTTAGATTTTGGGCCTAACATTCAATAGGGATTTTACTTTTCTCTCTAACTGTTTACATTTGTTGCTGATTTGTGGAATTCAATTCAATTTTTTGTCTAAGTGCAATCCTAGATACTTATAGTATCTGATTGAGGTATCGTTTTATCATTGATTTTTACTGCCGGACTTGTCTCTCTTTAGGGTGAAAGTGACTTGGCAAGACTTTGATTCATTAATTTTAAGTCTCCACTTCTGGGCCCATGCTTCTATTTTGTTTAAATGGTGCTGTAGCTTTGTGCTAGCTGTTACAGAAATTATATGGGATGTTGCTATTACTGTGTCATCACCTATGTACCTAACATTGCATCTTCTTTGTATCTAACATTGCATTGATTGTGGTAAATCGTATGTAAAAATAATATAAAGGGTTGGGCCCAAGCAACTGCCTTGTGGGACGCCGGCTTTTATGAATCGATAGCTGGATAAATCTGTAGCAACATTGGTTCTGAACTGTCTTTTGTCCAAGTAGGATTGAAAGAATTTGTGGCAAAGTAATTCACTCAAAATATGAAATCAAGTATTAATCAGGGCCGGTGCTACCTTTAATGCGATACATGCGAAAAATACGAGTGCACGCCTTAGGGGGCGCCAGCACAAGATTCGGATATTAAATTTTCAATATAGTTTTTTTTTTCAATATATAATTTCTTTGCATCTTTCACTAATCTTTCCACAATATTTTTAAAATTCGTAAAAATTTCACTTTATAACAACAAATGGGAAAGTAAAGATGAAAACATACAATTCCGCTCTCACGATATCGATTAGGAGAAGTTTAAGATTCATTTTTGGATATCTTAAATAATAAAAAATTAAACTAATTTAATCCAACATGAAGTACCAGTGTTATGTTATGGTTATGGTTATGTTATACTGTTTAAAAGACCTTAATTTTCAATATTGTGTTGGAATTGAGGCTCATCATTTTATTTAAAGCAGTTCTACATTTAACATCGCTGATATTATAAATGTATATGCATTTTGGCGTGAAGAGTAATTTAAAAACAATAATTATTATTTTTAGGTAAACGGTAAATATTAGTATATTATATTAACAAATTGTAGACATAGGTACAGGACAACGTCTGTCGGGTCATCTAGTTACAAAAATATGCCTTTTGGACATTTCAAATTGACTTACTTGCAAGTGGTTTTATATTATTTTTCCTCCGCTGCTTGACGGGTACTATAGGAACAGCCACAGGACGTTCTTGCGGTAAAGTCGTAGGAACATAAGGAAACTCCTCCAACTAAAACATACAACACATAAACATCTACAATATTCAACGCAACAGTCACAAATAGGGAATGCAATACAGGTATACCGGTATACCGAATTGCCGATAAACCGCCCGATTTTTCGGAGGGTATTTTTACCGGTATTTACTCCAAAAATACCGGTATTTTCGGTATTTTTACATAAGCGCTATTTGATACATAATATACTAAAGTTTAAATTTCTCGGAAAAAATTATCTTTAAATTCCATAATCGCATAAACAGCTATATCTTCAAGTGATTCTATAGGATGAACAAATGTCAAATATTTTAACTCGTCATTAAACTGAATATTTATTGCTTTACTAAGGGCTTCATATCGTGTTACAATAAATAAAATTAAACTGGTAGATAATGATGTTTGTTTCATCTTATAAAAATGTAACGGTTTTTTAAGTGATATTTGCGCCAAAATATTTTATCTCATACAGATTGCCCCTGCGTAATCTTTATTTTTTCTAACTTTATACATAATAATTATGATAATTACGAAATATTTTTGCTTCTTATTACAATTATAAAATATTATTTTTCGACAACCTTTCGAAGTTTGAAAATACTATAGAAGCATCACATTGTTTTAAATAACAATACTCAACAATTATAGTAACTTATTATTTATCTCGACAAAGAATCCGATCTTAAATTAGTGTAGAACAATTATTTTTTTAAAATATTGGAGATTATGCTAATTTAACACATCGGATACAGACAATACAGTTTATTATAATAATGTAATATGATCTTTTATGAGTTTTTGGTCTTTCTTACTTATAAGTTTGTTTTTGGTGAAAAGTACTCAATATACTCGATAGTGATAATGAATTAATTGAATTGGATATAATTTTGTTGAATTATTATTTAAAAAAATAAACTTCTTGTGTTATTTTATTGTTTTTATTGTTTACTTAAATATAGTTGTAGTTGTATATACATTTTTTTTTATATTTGTACTAGTAACTTTCAATTTTGTTTACGTTTGTTTAAGATAATAAAAATACCGGTAATTTACCGGTATTCCGGTTTTAAAATGAAAAATTACCAAAATACCGGTATTGAAATTTTACATCTACTAACCTCAAAAGAGTCCTCATTCAACTCAGCGACCAGAACCCTAGCCTCCGGCTCCTGCTCTGCAATTTGCGCCCTCAGCATCCTCCTCCTTTTCCTGGCGCCTTCCTCCTCGCCGCCTGAAGAAGACGACGATGACCTTCTCTGAAGATCGACAACGGCCACTCTATCTCTGTCGTCTATAGTCGCACCTCTGTCGTCGTCCATTTCGTCCTCGGACGACCGATGACTTCTTTGTGCTCGTTCCAGTTCTGCACGTCTCCTGACGGCGGCAGAACTGCTCGAACGTGGTGATACGGAACCATCGGATGATGGTGTCCGTTTTGGGCGCCCGAGAAGAGTTTCGGAAGATGGTGATGGAATATTAGGAGACCTAAATGTAATTGATACATGAATTCAATTAATTGTTTTGATACCAAAGCTTTATCAATTTGCCGTAAAAATAAACAACATAGAAATACCGAAATATGAGAGTGTAAAATACCTTGAGATTCATCTCGATAGAAAGTTAAGCTGGTCAACGCACATCAGAATGAAAAGAAAACAGATGGAGAAGAAGTTCAAAGAGTTGTATTGGCTAATTGGCAGGAGTTCAAATATGTGCTATAAAAACAAACTCCTTTTATATAAAACAACTAGCAAACCCGACGAACTCCGTTTCGCCACCAGATGGTTTCTTGAGAAAGATGAAGAAATTTTTTTGTTTGTTTTATATTTGAAAAAGAAAAATTTGATTTTATTGCACAACAGTAATAAATTTATTTCGATTACAAAAATGTAGTGTTTTTTAGTTGAACTTCTCTAAGTAAATGAAAGTGAATCCGCAAATTATGCGTTTCATTGAAGTGCTCTTTAGTAAACCACATTTTTTGTTCTTTGGGTCTGACGTTAACACAAACAAAGCGGATGGTTTTCCAACTCGTATAACTGCCCATGTGAAACAATGATTTTCTAAATAATCTATTTGAAATTTATCTCGCAAACACTAAGCGATTGTCCTTGCGACTTGTTATTGCGAACGCAAGGCGAACTGGAAATTGCAATCGTTTGAAGTCAAACGGAAAACCAGTCGGAATCATTGGTATGTCACCAAATCGCCAGCAATTTTTGATTGAATGGTGAAGAAAGTGCGTGTATATCATTATTCTTTGTGGCAAGAATTGCTCGTTGACTTAACCAAGCATAATTCTGATAATTCTCACTAATGTCATTACTCGAATTTTTAATTACGGTGCATGAAGTTCCAGCAATTTGCATTAGGGCACGATGCCATGCACAACTAATTTTCTTAGCTATAAACCTTGCGGAGCCCGAGACCTTTCCAACGAATGCAAAATTGTCGAAATCGGTTTGTGCGTTCTGGAGTTATTTCGTCAGAAAGAAAAACCCGACTTATTTTTATATATATAGAAGATAATTATCCCAATCTGGACATACGGCATTGAGCTATGGGCGTGCGCAAGCAATTCAAATATAAAAAATACAAGCATCGAAAATTTTAAGATGCATTATGAACGCACCCTGGTATGTTACAAATGAGACCCTACATAAAGACCTAAAAATAAAAACTATTAATGAGATGATAAAAGAAAGGAGCAAAAAATACCACGAAAAACTACCAGGTCACCAAAACGTATATTTAAAAAAATTAAACGAGGAATATCCCATACGAAGATTGGGGAAAAATGGCCTTACGATTTTAAATAAAATGTTAATAATGAAAAGAAAGAGAGATATCTCATAGGAGATAATCTCTTAAATGCATTAACACCAACATCATATTGTCTTAAAATATGTATATTATTTTGATTATAAAATAAAACTATTATATATTATAGTATATTATTTTGAATATAAAATTGCAATAAAACTATGCAAAAAAACTAGTGGGGTATATGGCATCGTGCCTTAAGGCAAATTGCTGGAACTTTCCGTATCGTAACGAAATGTTCGAGGAATACTGAATGTTTTCAAATAGATTATTATTCATATTGTAACATTGTCTAATATTTATAAGAATTATATAAACTGAATTGAAACGTTAAAATTATTTTTTTAAAGTATATTAGAACTTTAGTCGGAATTAAAAATAAAGTCTGAATTATTTTCGATATACATAAAAACAATTTTTTTTCCAAAATCAATTAGTTTGTTAAAATAAGCTGAAAGTTCTTTGAATCATTTAAATTGGACGCATAGTTCTCTCAAAAACTGCCATTTTTTGCACATTTAGCTCTGTATCTTCGAAATGGCTGGGCCTGCCATTGCTTCTCCCAATCATTACTAATTAAATGTTTTCTAAATCATTCAAATCGGATGCTTCGTTCACTCAAAAACTCGATTTCTATTTTCTGCACTCTTTGCTCCGTATCTCCGTAACGGCTGGACCTGCCTTTGCCAAAAACTAATCAGCACATCTCCCTATCAATAGGAATCGAATGTTTTTTGAACCATTCAAATCGGTTGATCCGTGCGCCCGAAAACGTGGACGAAAAATTGTATCCATACATACATACACACACACATCCATTTTTTCTTAGGTATGCCAACATGTTCAGAAACCTTCAAAATGTCGAGAAATGTAAAAATTTTCAATTTCGATTTTCGGCCCCTTACAATAACTTACCCTACGGGTAGTTAATAAATAAATAAACCTTTATCAATTTACCTTAGGCTTCTCTGTTCATCATCAGGAGTCGTCCTCATAGCTTGCTGAAACGAATCGGTTTTGACAAATTCCTTCTTCCTACCACCATTATGCACCACAACATCTGCAGTATCCTTAACAATCTCTTGTTTTGTAAATAAAGGTTCACTAACCACTTGTTGAGGTAGCGTTTCACTAATTTTATTAACTACATCACTAAATTCATGCACTGCAGGTTTAGAGACAATTTCACTCGGTTTCGCTTCCAAAAGTTCATCTTCAGTTTTAACACGATCGCGTTCGTAGTCTAAAATTTGTTGGGCGAGGGTACGTTTTGATAAAAACATTTTGCGTGCAGGTTTTGCGGCTACTTTGGGCGGTGAAGTAGATATTTTTGTTTCTTCTGGTGGAATTGATGGTTCAGTAGAAGCTTTTTGGTCTTCTGGAGACGCTGGTTGACTACATTGGCTCTCGGCTTTGCTCAAACTGAACTGGGTGCTGAAAACTTGTTCCTCGCGACTGCCTAATTTTGTGGTGAAGACTAAACGTTTTTTTGTTTTTTTCTTTCCTTCCTGAGGCGAACTTACTTTTTCCTCCACTTGCTGCCTACTTAAATCAGATTTCAGTTGGATTTCTTTAACTTGTTTAATCACTTCATCAAAATTTATGTCCGGTTTTTCTGGTTCTGGTTCAATATTCTTAGAAACTTCAGCAGGGACTTCTTCATCACTGGGTGAACGTAAAGGAATCCTAATGCTACCATCAGGTAAAGGTATCCTTCTACACTTGGTTTGCTTTTTAGGAACTTCTTTAGATTTCGAATCATCGATTCTATCCGTTTTTTGCAACTTGGGAGTATTGCTTTCGCCTTTATGCGCCTTCGCCACTTTTTTACCATCAGCGATTTTAACTTTGGTAAAACAATCTGCAGGTTTTTCATGCGGCGGCGTGTGCAAAGAAATATGTATATAATCCTTGGACTTATCAAAATCAATCTTCCTGCTATCCACAAGTCCTGATAAATCTTCTGGTGTCATAGTACGTACTGGAATTCTTACACTATCACTTTTCAGTTTCATCGAATCGTCGTTCTTTGGTCGCGAACAACTTTCAAAAACTTTCATGATGTCTTCTTGTTTTACCGGCGGTCCATGGAGAGGTATTCTGATACCATCAGACGGCGGTGATTTTTTCTGTACCCTGACATTTCTAGAAGATCCTTCCTCACTAGGTTTTCTGGATCGATTGGATGGAATGTCACTTGGTCTGTTGACTTCTCGGCCAAAAACTTTCTCCAGATCTTGCCTGGTGCCTATGACACCGGACTTTAGATCTTCTTCAGTGGGAGTGTGGAGAGGTATTCGGATGTAGACAGGTTCTTCGGGTTCTTTCTGTACAGGCACCTAAAAATAAATGATAAAATGATTGTTATTTATTTTTTTCGATTTTGAGATTTTTTGATATTATGAAAACTAAAAACCTTAGAATCATTTTAAAAAAAATCATCTCAATATCTATTTTTTTGACGAAGTTTTTTTCATCGCTCCGCGAGCTATTGTATGCCAGCTGCTCTCTTTTTCATTATAATACCTCATGCACGTGACCTTTTTAATGTATCAGCATCTTTGAACACCATGGTGTATTTAGTACATTAAATTAAATGGTGTATTTAGTACATTAAATTAAATGGTGTATTTAGTACATTATATTAAAAACTTTAAATACGTTTTTCTCAAATTGACTTTTTTCAAATTAAAAAATTAAGCCACAAATTAAAAAAAAAACTGCATGTCGGATCGCAAAAGAGATAGATGTTGCAAGGCCGACTTTGGCGGCCTCTGGTTACAAAATGACAGCAAAAAAAAAGAAAATTTCGTAATCTATATATATAAAAGAGGATCGCTTAAGTTAGAACACTTATAACTCACGAACGGCTGAACCGATTTAGATGAAAATTGGCAGGGAGGTAGTTTAGAACCAGAAGAAATATATGTGATACTTTTTGTCCCAATTTTCATTCCAATTCAAAATTAATTATTTATAAACTATCCATTTAATTTATGATATTTATTTTCAAAAAATTTTAATAACCACGGAAAATTATTACGAAGTGGCAAGTAAATTAATTCTTAATGATAGCAAGCGATGCCATATGGACGATGGAGAAATTTATTTCTCGGCAATGGGAATGTAATTATTTTTTATATATTTAGATACTTACGTATATTTGTTTATACGTATTTAAATAGAGTATTTGAGATTTTCATATTCTAAATATCAGCAATAAGTATAATCATCAACAAATAAATAAAAATAAAGTTTCTTAACATAACCTCAAAATTTGTAATAAAAATGTAAATAGTTATATATTAATTGTTGTTAATTTATAATTTCTTTATACATATCTTATAAAATGTTTCAGGTGTTTACAACTAATTTGCATACATATTATCCGAAAATGTGCTTTGATTGGACAATAAAAAGGCCTAATTGAAATTACTCGACTACCTTATGTTGAATATAGTGATAGAATATTAGTTCTTGGTTGTATATATTTATATTTATATATATATATATATATATATATATATATATATAGAACCAAGAACCAATTAAAATTGTCCAGCCTTCTTGAGTAATCCAGAATCCAAAAGAATCTGAAAAGCTTAAAACGTAATCAATAAGTCGAAATACCAAAAAAAGACTTGGATTAGATTATACCATGTTTTCTATAGAAAGTGTATGAAACTTCCAGTTTGATTGTATTGACAAAATTTAGACAAACTAATGGGTTTTATTGTTTTTATAATACCTCATTGTATATAGCATTCAAACAACGCAGACTTATACACTAAAAATATTTTTTTTTTTTTATTCTCTAGAAATTGTTTTGAATATACCTTACTTAGCAAAATAACGTTTGCCAGGTCAGCTATTATTCTATGATTTTGTAATTTTTGTTTAAAAAAACCGCATGCCTCTACGATAAATACATTTCGAGAAAAACAATAACAAATACCTTGCATTTTTTTTAAAACAACCCCCTTAAACTAAATTATGACTTTTATTCTTACCATTTGTCTGTGCCTGTGTTCAACAACCGGAGATTTACTTTTCGACTTGGCTCTCGGTCTAAACAAAGACAGAACCGAACCAGATTTATCGGTCGCCTTGATTCGCGGCGAATCCGGTTGACTTATGGTCTCTTTCGATTTGAACAACGAGCAGAAAGAACTCTTTCTGGAAGCCGAGGCCGGTGATGGCGATGGTGACCTATTCTGTGGTTTTTGACCAGATGCAGGTTTGGACGATTTCTGATCAGGGTGCCTGTGAATCGTGTCATCGGATTGACGTAGATCCAAAGTCACCGGTTTGACGGACGGAGGAGCTGGTTCGATGGGTACGGAGTCGTCTTCATCAGAATACCTAGGAAAGGATAAATTGTAAACACACACACACATATACACCTAAGTCTGTTTTTACACGGTCTTTTTGTACACGGTTTTGATATAACACGGTTTGAAAAATAAATATTTGTAATTTTTTTACACGATTTTATTCCATTTAGCACGATTTGAAATTTTATGTACCTAAATTTTTTTTGTCAAATTTAATTTTTGCGAAGTATGTTGATATCACAAAAAAGTATTTATGAAAGAAAAAAGTCTGAAACCATCGATAGTATCGATAGTTTGCGAATACTAGCTTAAAGATTTGAGTGAATTCCCCTTTAGCGCGTACAAACAATTATTATTATTATTACTATTATTATTATTATTATTATTATATTATCATATTACTTTTAAGATTAGAGTGCATATCTTTTTTATCATTACTATGATTGTGAAAATAAGCATTATATATTTGATTTAATAAAATAAACATGAATTCTTGTTCTTAAAAATTCTTGTTTTTCACTAATTTTAATAGGTTTTAGAGATTAGGAACAAATCACCCATTTTTGTATAAGATCAATGTCTTTTTTACACGTTTTTTTTACACGGCTTCTTCTGGAACCAATCTACCGTGTAAAAACAGACTTAGGTGTATATATATATATATATATATATTATATATATATATATATATATATCTTGATAGTTTTTTCGACGTTGAAACATATTTCAAAGTAACTAGCAGCCCATTCGTCGAAATAAAAAAGGTATAAAGTATAAGAACTTTTATTTATACGTTTCGACACAAGATGCGTGTCATCATTCAGCAACTACAACATTTGAAAATTTTATTAACTAATATAAACAACAATATAGATTAATTATAGCATAGAGAAACATTATACATACCACAGGACAAAAACACTCACAAAAATTTATTTAAAAAATTAAACTTAATACATATAGAGAAACATTTTTTTAGAAAAATTATTAATAACTAAAGATTTGAAAACTAATTTGACTAAAAGTTATGAAATGCATTTTAGTCAATTAGTTTTCAAATCTTTTAGTTATTAATAATTTTTTCTAAAAAAATGTTTCTCTAATATGTTATTAAGTTTAATTTTAAAATACATTTTGTTGAGTGTTTTTGTCCTGTGGTATGTATAATGTTTCTCTATGCTATAATTAATCTATATTGTTGTTTATATTAGTTAATAAAATTTTCAAATTGTTGTAGTTGCTGAATGATGACACGCATCTTGTGTCGAAACGTATAAATAAAAGTTCTTAACTTTATACCTTTTTTATTTCGACGAATGGGCTGCTAGTTACTTTGAAATATATATATATATATATATATATATATATATATATATATATATATTAACAAAGTCTAATAACGGGCATAACATCAATAAAAAACATGAATTTCTTTCAAAAATTCAAAAAACCCAAAACAATTCAAAACTGTACTTGCAGACCATATTTATACTTTAAAACACAATATGGACTTTTCTAACCCGACTGTACTACAATTCGAACAAAATTTATTTAAACAAAGAATTATAAGAGAATCTTTTTTAACTATTTATAACAATAAGACAATAAAAAAACGGAATGAACTTAACACGCTGTGCGACACAAATCTCTTTTATTTAGATAATATTTCCAAATTTCTCACAAAACAATAAAAACGACGCGCAAAGGATTCGCAATTCGTTCCACACATGTGTAGAATCTTGGTAAAAAACATTTTAAAATGTCCTTTCTCCATTATATCTTCAACCAGTCTACGAACAACACACTATCCTATTGTGATTTTTTAAATTAGTATTTTGTGAAAATAATGTGTAATTACAAGTTTAATGTTTATAATACATAGTATAGTGCATTACCATATCTTGATACCATGGATTAGTAAAATTTTCCAATTTAACACTAAGATTAACTAATTGTAAGTACTATTTACTATTTTATTTTTTGTTTTCACTCCAATTCAATTGTTTTAGTTTTTAATTTTATTTTTAGTTTCCACTGAATGAAGACTAGGATTATAGCCGAAACGAATGGATTTAAAATAAATTTTTGAAAGAAATTCATGTTTTTTATTGATGTTATGCTCGATTATTAGACTTTGTAATACATATGTTAACATCAAATTCAGAATCATACAATATATATATATATATATATATATATATATATATATATATATGCAAGTATATCAATCAGCAACTTACATATGTGCAGGTTTCAAACGTATCCTGATGTAATCTGAACTTTGTTGTTGACTCGTGTGATCCTGCATGTCAGCTTGTGCTGTTTTTCGAGGTTTCGGTGCAGTAGTTATGGCACGCTAAAATAAATTAACATCTTAGCAATTAATTGCAAAGTAAATATATACTATTAGGGAATGCAATACCGGTATACCGGTAAACCGCCCAAATTTTTCGGCGGTAATTTTACCGGTATTTACCCCGGTATTTTCGGTATTTTTACATAAGCGCTATTTGATACATAATACACTGAAGTTTAAATTTATCGGAACAAATTTATCTTTAAGTTCCAGAATCGCATAAACAGCTATATCATCAAGTGATTCTATAGGATAAACAAATGTCAAATATTATCTCAACTCGTCATTAAACTGAATATTTATTGCTTTCCAAAGGGCTTCATATCGTGTTACAATAAATAGAATTGAACTGATAGATTATGATGTTTGTTTCATCTTTTATAAAAATGTAACGGTTTTTTTAAGTGATATTTGCGTCAAAATATTTTATATCATACAAATTACCCCTGCGTAATCTTTATTTTTTTCTAACTTTATACATAACTAGCAAACCCGACGAACTCCGTTTCGCCACCAGATTGTTTCGTGAGAAAGATAAAGAAATTTTTTGTTTGTTTTATATTTGAAAAGGAAAAATTCGATTTTATTATACAACAGTAATGAATTTATTTCGATTATAAAAATGAAGTGTTTTTTAGTTGAACTTCTCTAAGTAAATGAAAGTGAATCCGCAAATTATCCGTTTCATTGAAGTGCTCTTTGGTAAACCACATTTTTTGTTTTTTGGTCTGACGTTAACACAAACAAAGCGGATGGATTTCCAACTCGTGAACAGGCAACGTATAACTGCCCATGTGAAAAACAATGATTTTCTAAATAATCTATTTGAAATTTATCCCGCAAACACTAAGCGATTGGCCTTGCGACTTGTTATTGTGAACTGGAAATTGCAATCGTTTGAAGTCAAACGGAAAACCAGTCGGAATCATTGGTATGTCACCAAATCGCCAGCAATTTTTAATTGAATGGTGAAATTCAGTGCGTGTACATCATATTTCTTGGCGGCAAGAATTGCTCGTAGACTTAACCGAGCATTATTCTGAAAATTCTCACTAATGTCATTACTCGAATTTTCAATTAAGGTGCCTGAAGTTTCAGCAATTTGCATTAGGGCACGATGCCATGCACCACTAATTTTCTTAGCTATAAACCTTGCTAGACCCGAGACCTTTCCAACGAATGCAAAATTGTCGAAATCGATTCGTGCGTTCTGGAATTATTTCGTTAGGAAGGAAAACCCGACTTATTTTTATATAAGTAGAAGATAATTATGATAATTACTAAATACTTTTGCTTCTTATTACAATTATAAAATATTAATTTTTCGAAAACGTTTCGAAGTTTGAAAATACTATAGAAGCATCACATTGTTTTAAATAACAATACTCAACAATTATAGTAACTTATTATTTATCTTGGCAAAGTATCCGATCTTAAATTAGTGTAGAAAAATTATTTTTTTAAAATATTGGAGATTATGCCAATTTAACCCATCGGATACAGACAATACAGTTTATTATAATGATGTAATAAGATCTTTTATGAGTTTTTGGTCTTTCTTACTCATAAGTTTGTTTTTGGTGAAAAGTACTCAATATACTCGATAGTGATGATGAATTAATTAAATTGGATATACTTTTGTTAAATTATTATTTAAGAAAATAAACTTATTGTTTTATTTTATTGTTTAGTTGAATATAGTTATACATTACATATAGTTTAGTTGAATATAGTTATATACATTTTTTTATATTTGTACTAGTAACTTTGAATTTTGTTTACGTTTGTTTAAGATAATAAAAATACCGGTAATTTACCTGTATTCCGATTTTAAAATGAAAAATTACCGAAATACCGGTATTGAAATTATCCATCGGTATTGCATTCCCTATATACTATCATCTTACATCTTTAGGCGCAGTTCCATTTCTAGCGACATGACCATTCCCTTTGACCTCGTCTTTAGTAGAGATAAGTGGCATCGTTTTCGGAGCAGTCGTAGCCGATACTGCTCCAGTGCTCCTAGGCTGCTTACTAACAACACCAGTACCACCCATAACCTGTCCATTCGTTTTGCATTTACCCTTCATACCTGGCAACCTGCAAAAATACAAACCATCAGCACTACATCCACCAACATCCTACCACCTATCTATTCCTACCTGAACCCTTCAGCCAGTACAGCTTCTGTAGGATCAGTTCCTCTGGCAAGTAAAACTTTTTCGGCTTCACTAACGGCACTTCCAGCAGCGTTTTGGGCTCTCCTTAAAGGAGTTCCACAGTCTCTACGTCTGCCACAGCAACTCCCCCAGCTGCAGGCGATCCTGTGCCACAAAAAATGTTTCTAGGAGTAAGGAATGTGGTGAGGAGTCCTTGCGCCTCCTGCAGAACTTAGACTGGAGACACGACTTGTGCGCCCTGATATACAGAGGAGGACGACCTAGAAAAATAAAAAATATTTGTAACTAGATGACCCGACAGACATTGTCCTGTACCCATGTCTGCAATTTTTTAATATAATATACTATTATTTAACGTTTACCTAAAAATAATAATTATTGTTTTTTAAATTACTCTTCACGCCATAATGCATATACACTTATAATATGAGCGATGTTATATGTAGAAATGTTTCAAATAAAATGACGAGTTTCAATTCCCACACTATATTTGAAATTGAAGTCTTTTAAACGGTATAACATAAACATAACCATAACATAACACTGGCACTTCATGTTGGATTAAATTAATCTAATTTTTTATTGAATTCCTATTATAAAACAAGAAATTGACTATAAAAGAACCAACTTTTAAACTTAAAACATCTTTTAATACCATAGACGGAAGAGAGTACAGCTTTTTAATCTACTCCCACTACATATTAGGAAACTGAATGATCGTCAATTCATAATACTATTGTTAAACTTTTAAAGCTCAAAGTTCTACGATACTTTTGAGTTTTCCAATTTCGATATCAAACATTATTTTGATAATGAAATGCCTACTGATAATAATTGATACTTTTTTTTCCAACAGTTACAATTTTTTTCCCCTTTTCAATACTTTTCCTAATTTTTATTCTAAATTATTTTAAAATTTTTCTACTTTAAGTATTTTATCATTACAATTATTTTCATATTATATATTCTTTTTTGATACTGCTTTTGATTATTATTTTCCAGATATGGGACTTAAATAAAAATTGCATACCGGATATTTAAAGGATTTTTTTTACCATAAGGAGACTCTCAAGATCAACAAGCCTTAATTGAACTATTTGAATTTTATTACATTTTTTTCTTCAAGTTATTATATTAGATATTACAAACGTTAGGCTTAATATTGTTTAATAGTTGTATTTTACTGGAATTAATTTAATTAAGATAATTTATTTTCTGTAATTATTAAGGTTATTCCTGTATCCGTAATATAAATATAAATATAAATATACTTAAGGTATCCAAAATTGCATCTTAAACTTCTAATCGATATCGTGAGGCCCGAAATTGTATGTATTCATCTTTACTTTCCCATTTGTTGTTATAAAGTGAAATTTTTATGAATTTTAAAAATATTGTGTAAGTATTAGTAAAAGATGCAAAGAAATTATATATATAAAGAAAATTTAATATCCGAATCTTGTGTTGGCGCCCCCTAAGGCGTGCGCTCGTATTTTCCCCATGCATCGCATTGAAGGTAGGACCGGCCCTGATTAATACTTAATTTCATATTTTAAGTGAATTAATTTGTAACATTCTGTTCATATGCGTATAATTCCATCTGACATACATATACCGTATCTTATATTATTTTAATTTCTGGCACATCTCGGCTGCTTTTTGGCAATATTAATGTAGGCATTTCATTTTTTTTTTATTCATAATCATAAATTTATTATACATATCCTAATATTGTCTAGGTTCATAAGGAAATTGAAATTTTTGGCAGATGATAGTTTTCATTTGTTTTCAATGCAAACAATGACATGTCGTTTTTCGCATTTTCTTCCATTTATTTCTACAATATTGCACATACATCCCAGTACTTTATAATCACATACATCCTAGAAAATTTGCTTAACAAACTTCAGAAAGATTCATCAAAATCCGAATAATCGTTTAGGAGCATACAGTATGTGCTTGTAATTTAATATGAACTTTATATAATAGCAATAAAGCTCAAATTGATTCTACGTTTTAGTTTGAAAAAGTTTGTATGAGAAAAAAAAGGGAAGTTTTTAGGGTTTTCCCGGCGATTATTCGATTTTTTCTCGCCGTAAGAACCATCCTTGGACTTCAACGAACATTTTAAAAAAAAATGGCCAAATTGGTCCAGGCGTTGTTGAGTTATGCGCGGAACAACACATTTTGCGATTCTTTTATATATAAAAAAATATTAATGACTATATTAGTTTGTTTGTTACCTCAGAACACTGTGATTCTCTCCTCGGTTCCTCGACTGGTTTGGCACCAGGTCCCAAAAAGTCAAGTTCTTCAGTACTTGATCTCAAATCCAAGGCACCCTCTTCACGGAATCCTAAAGACGATACAGCACTCACTGAAGCACTTCTTCCTACAACACAAAAATCCAAAATTACAATATGTTAATAACATATATATATATATATATATATATAACACATTATCCAATTGTGATTTTTTAAATTAGTATTTTGTGAAAATATTGTGTAACTACAAGTTTAATATTTATAATACATGTGTAGTGCATTACCATATCCTGATACCATGGATTATTAAAATCTTCCAATTTAACACTAAGATTAACTAATTGTAAGTACTATTTACACTTTTTATTTTTTCTTTTCACTCCAATTCAATTGTTTTAGTTTTTAATTTTATTTTTAGTTTCCACTGAATGAAGACTAGGATTATAGCCGAAACGTATAGATAAAATAAATTTTTGAAAGAAATTCATGTTTTTTAGTGATGCTATGCCCGATTACTAGACTTTGCTAATATATATATATATATATATATATATATATATATATATATATACAGGGCCGGTCCTGGGGTTCTCAGCGCCCGCATGCAAGATTTGTTTTAGCGCCCCCCCCCCAATAATTTTAACTGTTTTAACAGTTTTTCGTTGAAATTATATAAACATTTACGTTAATTTTTTTTTATTAATTTTTAGTCATTTTGGATTTAGTACACAAAAAATAGATAAAATCTAAAAGCGTATAATATACATTGATTTAAATTTATTTAGAAAATCGAGGCGATTCGCAGCTTGATCATAATCGAATATTTTTAAATTCTTAATTATTTCTAACGCATGTGTAATATTAATATTTGGGTTTTGAAACATTTAACTTATTTATTATGCGATTTATTCTATAGAACTAATCACGCCAAAAGAGCAAAAATAACTAGTATTCGATTTTTAAAATAATACTCGTATTTCATGTTTTAATTTAAATTAAATTTTCACTATTTACAATATCCAAAATTGAATCGTAAACTTCTCCTTATTTGTACGGTTGAATTTGAACCTAAATAATTTGTTTTTTCGATTCCACGTTAACTTCAAACGAAGAAAAAATAATAGTACAATA